CTTCAATCTTTTAATACTTCCTTAACTATGCCTGATATTAGATGCAAAAAACGTCAAATATGTTACACTTAGAAAAATGAGAGAAACTATCAAGAATTTCCTGAGAGTCGATATGGACTCTAAGGGATCTAATTGTCTGTCGATTGATGTCGACGACATTCCCATTATACGAATCATATTCTTAAATAGTAAGCCAATTTCAACTAATATAAGAATCTAATAGGAAAAATGGAAGCACAAAAGTTTACTTTAGGACATAAGTCAAATATCAAATTTTCTAAAATTTTCTTATAAAAACTTATAAGTAACATATAAGTAAAGAAAACGAATTAAGATAAACTCTATTTGAAATCCAGCCATTGATAAAATATTCAAATAGTTCGATGATTCAATTCTTTACTTAGGACTGATTATTTAAAAATGAGTTTTATTAATATTCTCCGATAATTTTGCCAATTCAGTTTATCCAGATCTCATCCTTAAATAGTTCAGAATTCAAAATGCACCACAGTAAGCAAAGATTCGACGAAAAAAAATGCAAGAAATATTGTGAAATCAGTGGGATTTCACTTACATAAAATGAACTCTTTTTCCCACATCCATTCGAAGGCTTTTGTGAAGATGAATTCATCAATTAACTTAGATGAATTAATTTGATACTAAAAAAACGTTTGGCGAATATCGAAAACGAATTTTTTGAAGGTCAAAGAGAATGGAGGAAAAGAACAAAAGCTTTTTTTCTTTGCTATTTTTCAAGAATATTATTATTGAGATTTATCAGTAAGAACGTCAAAGCGTTATCCACATTGGTTAGGTCATATACATCTCTTGCCGTTATCATCATTTGCTGTTCTTAACAACTAACGTATATGTCCCAACATAAAAAGTATTAAGGTTAATTCTGTCAAAAGCAAGAAGACCCAATCAAGATCTAGGAGAATACTATCAAGATAGATTTTGTACGCATAGACAGTCATAGACAGACAGACGGCTATATATGTATGGAAAAAGGAATAACTCAGATTTCACCGTTAATGATAAGTTTATAAGTTTACAAGAAAGGAATCAAAACCATGCTGACTGTCCTCAAACTAAAAACAATGCGAGAACTACTGAGCTTTAATCAGGATAACTGAAAATTATATTTATATTATAGGATAATTATTATTATAGGATAATTATAATCATTGACTTTATTATTTTCACTATATTATTTTTATAAAATATTAGCAATCAAGTGAGAATCTCAATCTGCCAGTGGCATGATGTATGTGTTTTCCCAAACATTTCGCTGACAAAATCTCATCCTATTAACCAAAGAACAAAAGTAGAATTAGCGAGTGTTAAGAAAAAAATTTATAAAATTTGCTAACTGGTCAAAAGGAACATCTAATTTTTATTGCGAACTTTTTTTGAGATGAGATATCTAAACACCTTTTCGCCACTAAACAAATCTTTTAGAAAAAAAGTTAAAAGAAATGCTAGAATTCGCTTTTGCTGTTATCGTGTTGGATCTAGGATTTTTATTATTTAACTTTAAAGGCCTTTGATGCCTATAATAAAACGTTAAGTTCATGAGTAAAAGTAAAATTTCTCAATAATAGTACAATTTTGTCAAAAAAAGTTATTTAAAAACTATTCTTTTGAGGAATCTTCGTTCTTAAATCTTCGGATTTTTGAATGGAAAAAGGCAAACATTTATTACCATACTCCTGTGCTTTTATTTAAAACTTTTGAAATTTCGTATCAAATAAAAATTACCTAAAAACACTCGCGCTGCATAATGCGTGTCACATATGAAAATCTCATTCTCCAATCATTCAAAGGCATTTTCGTTCATTTCTTTTCAATTTTTTGGTAAAATTTTTTATTTTTTATATTAATACTTTTAACGCAAGAATTGTTCTGCTTGATCATCGTGTATATAAAATATATATGATAAATGTACATATATGTTTTATTCTCTATATATCTGATATATGATAAATGCAAAAATAGATTTGATCAAACAAAATTGCAAATGCTTAATGTGCTTGCTAGGAATAACAGCTATAAATATCCTATTGTAAAAGTTATCTTTTAAAACCCAATTTTAAAATTTATTGCAAGAACCGAAGTAATCAAAGGATTGCATCAATGAAAAAATGTCAAAATAAATTTAAGACGATTAGAGAATAAAACAGTGATAATTCATATTTTTTATTGACCTGAGCTATTCTTCACAATGTTTTGATATCATTTTCCTGAAGTATTTCAAGTTGCTTCCTATCATTGGTTCGATTCCTCTCCTTTGGCATAAGTAAGCTTATTACAAGTCGAGTCCTAATAGTGATACAGACTCCTATCTTTACTTATGCCAAAGAGACTCTCGGAGAAATATAGAGCGGAGTTAAACCAGCCAAAACAGAAATGAAGGAAGAATTTACTTTCTTCTCGTTTTGAAAGTGCAAAATGTAAATAACCAGAAATTTGATTCAATTGTGTGAAGTTTTATGCCTTAAATTTTCAAAACTGATATTTTTGTGCAGCTAGCCAGAAAACATTTTCTGAATCTTCAAATAAAATAAGTATAGCTGGCGCTTACTGTTTTTATTTAATCTCACTCTACTGACGTTAATTTGATGAGAGATTTTCTCCAGCCACTTGGTAACTGAATAGGAAGGTCCATTCGGCTTTTTAATGACTTTTTCACTCAACACAGACGGAGGAAGGATTAGGATGTTCCTGGTGTTCCTCCAAAACCCTTTAAGCACAAATAATATATTTTTAAACTTTATGGCATTATATCTCGCAGCTTCTATAGCCTAAAGTAACTCACTAATTATTTAAAAATTGTTCAGTTTTCCACTGATTTTTGTCAGAGAATCTCTTATATATAGTTACAGATGGTGCAGCACCGCTCAGATTTTAACTTTAACTTTTTATCAAAGATTTTTTATATAAAGCGGAAGAAATCGAACCAATGATGTTTGAAAATGAATCATGCCCGGCTGACTTTAGGTCAAAAAGCTCTTATCAGAGCTGTTTTCAGACAGAGGTAGAAGTGGGTTTCCACCAGTCACATGGTGGCATTTCTGCCTTTACTTCTGGCTGTATCTTCTTAGCTGGAGCAATATACTGCTCAAATATATTCATACTTAAAATCATCAAATTTTTTTAAAAAGGGAACAAATAGCAATTAACCATTCCTGAGAAAACAAATATAATTCCTATTCGTAAATCAACAAGAAATCATTTTCTTGCTTCATTCGCATTTTGCTTACGTGTTTAGGTATTATTTATCACAAATTTTGCAAAATAAAATTTTAAAAGCATATTTTATTGCGTATTTGAGTTCTTCATTCGTTACGTGCTCGATATTCTTCTCTTCCGTGTGCAGCGTTTTAAAATGGCTAAGTGGCCAAAATATTTTTCAACTGGGTGAAAAAAATTTCATCTCTAATAATGGAATTAAATTATTACAAATTAGTTAAAAGAGAAAAGAAACGTGAATTTCCATTGAAACATTATTTTGAAGCTGCAAGGCAAGCGAAGATGCTGTTTAACTCACCCATAGCATAACCGTAGATACCAAAGACCAAAGAGACTTGAGTGAAAGTTGAAAATTAAAAGCAGGTCCTCCAAATTTTGCTTTTTAAACAGTTTTCAGTATAAGAACTGCCAGCCAAAATATAGCTGAGCATTATGAATGAACTTTGTTTAAAATCTTACCAATTAAGGCACCAATAGGGTTTGCTTAAAAAAATTAACAACAGATGTTTCTGTAAAATAAATATCCAGTGATAAATCAAAAAAATGCAAAAATATTGGTGTTTTTTCACCAATACTTTTAATTCCATCGCAAATTTACTTTTATTTAAAACTGAAACAAAAATGAGAGACAAAAAAGGAGAAAAGATAAAAAATGTGAGTATTGTAAAAATTGAATGAACACTTAAATATGCGCATCTAATTAATGATTAGTAATAATCAGTGAAAATATTAAACATTTAGTCTTACTTTACTTAGCTTTCAGTGTGCCAGTACGAAATGATAGACAAGGCTAATGTTATGTTTCTTTTTTTACTTTATGGAATCGACGAAAACATGTGATAGAAAATGACAAAATTCGGTTGAGAATTGAAAGTTTGATAAAAAAATGTCCGTTGCGAAGTAAACCTCTCCAAAAATATGGATGACTGGCGATTCATCTATACTTCCATTGCCAAGGAAGATTTGTCGTGTACGACAAGCCAGTGAAGCGAGTCTAACCACTAATGATGAGGGCTCTTAAAAACCATTGCAGAAATACTCTTATCAAAGCTGAAATATATTATCATGTTTTAAACGCAACTCCTGTGCTCCTTTTCGGAAATTTTCTCCCCCATAAATAATCCACTGATTGTTCCTAAGCCATTTTCCTGATGATATAACATAACATGAATTTTAAGAACCATGTAATCGAAAAGGAAATGAAGCAAAAAAGAACCATTTTAATTACGAATAGACAACAGAACAACAAATAGTAATTAAAAATAATCAAAAATATACAGACAAATAAATTTTTATATTAGATAATCTGAATGGTGAACAAGCATAAAACAAAGTAAATTTTCCCACATTTCTTCATACTGATCCCTTAAGTACTATTTTCTATAAGAAATGATAAATAAAATTAATTTGGTTAACTGGCAATTTACTAAAAATGCCATTTTTTCTTCTGAAAGCTATGAAATCTGGCAAATTAAATTCATAGAATTTATTTATTCTAGGATTTAAATCTTCCGAAATCGACGGTAATAAGCCTAGCCAAAATTGTTTTATAAAGCCTATTCAGCGGATTACATTAAATTTTGATATATCGACAAAATTATGCGCATGAATCGATAACTATAAAGACACAATATATATAATAGCCAAAAATGAAAAAAAAGAGGAAAAATTTACATGGGAAACAATCGAGAAAAACCTAGTCTTGTTGATAATTCTAGGGTTACAGTAAATTTTAAAACAAAAAAGTCTTAAATAAGTCTCGATTTTTCCAAATAATTTATGAGAACAGAATATACAAAACGATATTGCGATACTGTTTTGATAAGGCACATTCGCTGCTGACGAAGTATTTCAAGAATTTTTCCGACATCGATACTCTATAATATTTTTTTATAAATTTTTATATACAATTTTTTCATTGGTGAATTTAGAGAGAATATTTTAATGCAGAAAAACCAGATTAACCAGATTATTTTCGATAGAATGAATGAGAAGTTCGACAAGCAAATAAACCCCGGATTCATGAGCGCCGGATAAACAATGAATTACAAGTGGAGGGCTATCTAACGATATAGTAGTATTCAGTGATGATGAGCTTTCCGATGATATTTCTGAACGAGTTGAGCACTGTCTATAAATAAAAAAGAGAAATTATTAATACAGAACTGTAATAAGTAAAAGGCATATCAATTTTTATTAGGTATGATCATATTAAAAAAACAAAAAATTATAAAACTTGCTATAAATAAATCATCACTTATTATGCAGCGTAACGATATAAAATACCTTGAAGCAGAAAAGTTATAATAAGCGTGATTAATGAAGCGGAAGCGTTTACACCAAGAACCACCACCATCTATCAAGCTCGAACGATTGCGGTTGGTCAGGTCAGCGAGATTAGCCTGAAGTTATCGGAAAACCAAATAAATTACGCAGCAGTCCTAAAAAATTGGAGAGCCAAGTACATTTTTTCACCAACACGATCTTTAGAAAAAACTATATGGATGAAAAAAAATAATTTTAAAAAAAATGTAAAAAAAATTTTAAAAAAGTGCAAATCATTTTATAAGAAGACTTTACCACTATGATGAAGCATGAAACCAATGTCGATCGGTCATACAGTGTCAAAAACTTTGCTTCCTCCGAATCAACAAACAACAAAAAATTAACAAAACTCCAAAATTTTATTAAATTTGTGAATTAATTCTAATACTAAACATTCTAATAATTCTAAAAACTTGCACGATTCATATTTCTGCATCGTTCTTGTTCATTCTGCGTTAATAATGCACCGAAATCTGTCTCTTTTAACCGCTCGTTATCCAAATGCCGACGTACGCTGTTTACCGTATCAATAAATGCTAAAATTTATTAATTCCACATATTTCATTTGTTTCGGGAATGGAATGGTTCAGTGGGTTGTTGCCCTATACAAAAATTCGGGTGATGCTGGCGACTCACCTGTATTTCTATGGCCAAGGGACTTCCCTGGCATATTGCCCAGTGCAACAAGCCAGTGGGGCGAGTTCAACCAGTAATGGTGAGGACTCTTTAAAAAAAAAATTTCATTTATATTACGAAACGTTAATTTTAGTATGGCAATACTACTGATCATATAATCAGGTCAAATTAGTTTCAATATTGTTAGATGGAAAACCTTGTTTATTCTCGCAAAACATCAAAGGAATATTCCTAAAAGTCAATAAAATCCTGAACGAAAATTTTCAATAACTTTTATATTATAGTAATGAATAGGAAAAAAATGAATAGAAAAAAACTATTCATATAAATTAATTTTATCAAATAAGTATTTCCACAGCATTTGAATCAAAAAATATATAAAATTCACCTAAAAAAGCATTTTCATCATCCGGAATGCTACCTGTGAGCCAATTGTGAAATCTCAGATGATAAATAGTCCGTTTTTCGCCACTAGAAGTACATTTAATTTCTATAATTGATGTCGTTTGGGGCGAAATATTACTTGAGGTTGTTGAAACTAGAGTTATATCATAGTCCACCAATCTCATCTTGCTTTTCACTTTTTGTGGCCAATAGTACGGTGTGCTAGTAGCACCATCACCCTAAAAAGTAATGAGATCAAAAAGTAATATGAAACTGTAAAACTGTAAATACATAAGTTACTGGTTATTACAATCAATGAAAGCTATAGCAGTTTTACCTCAGCTTCACAAAGCATCACAATTAACTGTGCTCCGGATTCCCAAATCATTTGCCAGAAATCGTCCAAAAAATCTTTCAGTGGAGCCTGAGCTATAATATATCGGAGCATCTGATTCCCAATCGGCATCTTTAACAGAAATCTTTAATTTTATTCTACTTTATAGCCTGCCTGTGTCTTCAATTACATATTGTTCTGATGATGTGTTCCTAAAAAATTTTGCTTAAACCAGCGTCAAATAATATTATACTCTTTCAGTGTTTAGTGATTTCACCTTAGAATATAAGTAGCGAGAACTGCCAAGCACCAACTCTACATTCCGTTTATAAGATCCAACTCATCAAAATGCCTCTAATAAAGAACATAAATAAGCAATTTTAAAGGAAAAAAATACTTGAACATTGGAAGCATTTATGTATCCGGTTGCATTATTTTTGGTCGAATGCAACATTACTCGATTTTCCTCATATGGAACAATGGAACGGGTCCGATTACGCTTCTAAAAAACAAATTAAAATCAAATTTAGGAGAAAATGAGAACATCATAACAGATTTTTCCAATGTTATTGATTTTCAGAAAGCTATATTTCAATACAACACAAAACCATTTCAAATTTATTTAATTCATGGTGAAAAATACGCAGCAATTTATGAATTTAATTATTTAATTTATGCCATAAGCAGTTGTTCATAACTGAAATTTATCTGGACGACAGATTATTTAATGGTTATCACTTATTTGAAAAATATTTTCTTTTCATTAATAGAAACATAGATTAAACCAAACATTGGTGACAAACACAGAAAATCCTGGCTAGAAAAATATGGAGAGTTCGAAACTCCATCTACGCTTATTATAATAAAAAGAGTAGGAAAAATATGCCAAAATTTGCACCCTTCAATCATAAATTATTTTTTTTTTACCGAAGAACAAATGAATTCTTAGCCGATACATTAGCAGTGATAATAATGAAATGTTAGGAAATATGAATTAAATTTCTGTCCTACTGATGAAAATAACATACAGAATTTTCAGGTTTTTGACTAGTAGAAACACCAGCCGACATTCGCTTAGTTGGTATTAACGTGAATTCTTCATTCAACGTATCTTCTGCTGAGAGTTTTTCAATTAATTTGGATAACTAAAAAGAAAATTTTTCATAAAAAATATAAAAAATTAAAAAAGGAAATCAAAAATTAAAATTAAAAAATTTTAAACGAAAATTTATGATGGAATAAGAATATCAGGGTGGTGTTGACCCCTCATTTATCTTCAAGTAACTCTCAGGCGAAGTTTTCTTAATCTAGTAGTACATGGCACCAGCCAAACCAGAAATGGCGAGTGCAGTATCAAAAAAAAGGAAATAGTGGATGCGATATTTCACCAATGATAATTTCAGCACGAAAAATATCGCTTATTTCGAAAGAGGTATAAGGCCATTATTATTAGTAATTATTATTAATTATTTTTAATTATTATTGTTAATTATTATTATTAATTATTGTTATTAATTATTATTAATTATTATTATTTATTAGTATTTGTTATTATTTATTATTTGTTTTACTATTATTTATTATTATTATTTTATTCACTGAATTCATTCATTAAAAAAACCTTAAGCTGATTAAATGTTAAATGTGATTCTCCGATATAATTGAGAATAAACAGACTTTTCAATGATATAAGAGCGACAGATTAAAGAGAAAAACAATAAGGTTTACAGTGGTAGTAAATGCAACAGTCTAATTAGGACTCAATTCTGGAAAAGGACTGATCAAACAATTCATATTTTTTCGTGGTTCAAAATTTTTACTTTTTATCGTTCTATCATAAATAGCATTGAAGAGCATACCGTTTCATCATTAGTACTAGATATTAGCCCACTGTTAAATGAATAAGGCTTTTTATTGGTATTGACAACACCATTCAGCAGCACGTGCCTCATTCTATCAGATCGCATATCTTCTGAAGCAGTTTTCGTTTGCTCGTATTTTGTGCTTTTCAACTCTTGATAATCTACTTTTTTCTCTTTTTGATAGCTTAACTGTTCTACCTGAAATAATGGAAAGGAATAATTTCAAAATCTGCAAAAGCTAATTAAACTATAAATAAAATGAGAATGATATGCAAAACATAAAAAAAGATGTTACTTAATAAAAACACAAAGCAAAATAGATGGAAGAACATTTTTTTATTACGGATTTATTATTGTTACCTGGGTGATCAACAAATTCTTATGATACATCGCAAATGATAGTGATATTTTTAATTAGCTACGCTCTAAGAAAATGTGCCAGATCATTAAATTTTCTCAGAATGGTGAAAAAAAGAATATTGAAAAAGATAAGAGCGAAAATAATCATTTAATGAGTTTATAAAATGCATTCAATTCTAGCAAAATGGCTGCTCAGAATTTCACTTCTTAACGATTTAAGGTGATTATTCATTTAAAGAGATTATTATAGTTTATTGTTATTACCGCAAGTAATTTATATAATTAATAAATAGTGGATTTTATAATAATATCCAGTTTAAAGGAATTTATTATAATATGATAAGCCTTTATCATAAATAAAACTTCCAAATTTTTCAAGTAATAATAACTTTCTCAGATTTTTGCTTTTAATTTAGTCAGCTTTTAATTTTTAAATAAAAATTCATTTCAATTTTTGTAAAATGCGCTATAGCGTTAAAATTAAATTTTGTGCGAAGTTAGTAGTAGCAATATAAAAATTGCTGGTAAGAAGTTGATAAAAATTTAAACAAATGAAAGGAAAATTATCAGCAACATGTGAAATGAAATGGTGCGAGCTAGAGATATGAGATTGACAAATATCATTAGTACAGTTTTGTCATTGGAAATCGTTACAAACTACCAATTTAACAGAACTGAAATGTAATGAGATGAAACGCCAAAGGACAAAAAAACGCACCAACGTCCATAGTAAATGATCATAAAAATACAAATCAATTATTTCAACAATCGACAAATGGAATAAAAAAAGGTATCATCGAAAACTTGGAGAGCTCGTAAACTGCCAATTGCTCAGTCTCACCGAAATTATTTATACTTTTATTACCATATTTTTAAAATACTGTAATACTGAAATAAGTTAATAACGTACATATTTTATTTATTATTTTCATTTAATGTGATTAAATAAACAACTACATAAAAATTGTAAAACATTTATCGCACGTATAATACAATTCGTGCTGACCAGCCAACTGTATGTATTTCCGCAATCCGCGCACATTCTAACCAATAGTGCTATCATTTACTTTTCACAAACAATACATTTTTACTAACAAAAAAAGTTTACCTACGAATTTCCAAAAAAAATCCACAAACTTCGACACTATAACTTATGGAGAAAATTCACTAATTTTTAGCATAAATGAAGAAAGGCCAGAAAAGCGACATAAGGAAGTTTCCAACAAAACCATCCATCCTCCGTGGAAATATACAATACAAATGAAAAACAAGTTTTTTGAATCGTTATGGAGGAATACTCACAGATTTCGATTATAGTTGTTGGCGAATGATAATTTCTTAAGAATTCATATTGAATGCACTGCAATATTAGTATTACTATTACTATTAATCAGTGTTACTATTCAATATATTGAATTCATATCTTCAGTTGCAGCTCCACAAAATATTTGATTTTTATTGATAATCCACAATCACCACAAAAGAAAAATAAACCAAGCCGAACTATGGACCATAAGGAAGTGAAATATTATATTTTGACGAACTAGAAAGAAACTAATGGTTGTGATGATAAACGTGGAAAGTAAACATTGATCTAATAGAAAAGTCAAACAAGAATTCAAAAGAAAGTAAAACCTCAGAAATTTAGGAAATATATAAAAAAAATATATAGAACAACCTGATTATCATTTCCCGTATCATTTCCCCCATTATTAATAAAATAGCGAATATTGTATTGCTGCAATTAAAGTCAAGCGATCATAGGGTCTGATTCCTATCTCGTGATGGAAGTAAATCTATCATTAAAAATAAATGGTGATAGGTATCCATCTACTAATAATTCTCTAAATTAACTCTCCCGGCGAAGAAGTCTCATCCGAATTGCCTACTATGTTAGAAAACAATATATATATATATTCTCCAACATAGCAAAACAGAAATTTTTCAAATACATAAAAAGGAATTATCCATAGAAGCTATCCATATTGAATTTCTTGAACCAGAGGGCATTAATATGGAATTTTTAAGCATCAATATTATTATTCAGTATATTGTATATCTTTATCGGGCAGCAGTAATTTTTATTCTCGAAATTTTCATTTCATTCCCCCCAAAAAATTTCATTTATTAAAATTTATTTGAAAAAATTTGAAAAATGGTAAAAACTGAAAAAAAGAAGTAAGTAATAAAGCACTTATCAAAAAAGCTTATTAAAGTAGATGCAAATACCATTTACGAATTCTATACCAAATTTTTGAAGTAAAAAAAAAATAGCGGTTAGCACCATTCCTGGTTAGGCTGATTCCGCTGGCAATTAGAATGATAAGAAATTTTTCCCAGGGAGTCAACTGATGATATAAATGCAGTTGGGACGCAAGCATCATTCTGATTTTTTAAGGACAGAAGCTAAACTCTTGCCTCTTAATACAATAATTGAACTTTGCGTATTTCCAAGAAATTTGCATCATATCAAATGAAACCTCGATTTGTAAATCATGATCTACCACTGACCTAGTAAAAATTTAATTTATATCAATCAGTGTTTCAAGATTTCTGCGTATTAGAACAAAAAGAATAATAGTTAAACATAGCAACAACATCCAACACCTGAAACTAGTTTTTAAAAAAAGTCGAATAAAAGCTGCCAATATAGAGGTGCTACTTGATTAAATAAATGGTTAGTTGATGCAAATTTTGGCATTTTATTTACCTTTTTTCCTTCAAAACTGATGTTTGTTGTTTCATGAAATCTTTTTGATCCATTTTTATAGTCGATTATTGTATCTCCATCATTTCCATTCAAATGATTTAATGACCAAGTTATTTTTGTGCTATTTGGTGATATATCATTGCAGCTTATGGTCTTACTATATCGAAATGGACTAAACAATTGATTCAGATCGCTGCTCTCTTTATTTAATGTGTAGTGATGTGCAGCAAGTAATAGTTGTTCATCAGTTAATCCACTTGCACTCGAAAAGTTTTTGGACGTAGAGTGGAACGAACATGGCTGAACTACACAGGATGCAGTTGAAGATTTTGGTGAGTCCTTGCAAACATTGTTGCCACACAACTCACGAATATTATTAGAATTTGTCCCAGCGTTTCCAAGACTATCCATAGAGGCGACAGTCGTATAAGGTGATAAATGCACATGGGGCTTTAAATCCACAGAAGTAGATGGCTGTAAATCACAGGTGTGAATCGCTGGACTACTTATGTAAATTGGTTGGGGCAAAATGTCCGGCAAAAAAGAATGCGAAGGAGATCCGGCAATATAATTCGATTTTTGTAGTTTATCAAAGTTGTAATGATTAAATGCAGCGTCACAAGCATCTGCTGAAGATTGAGGATAATAAATATGACCAGCTTGAGCATGATATGAAACAGCTGGAGAACAAATGTTAACTGCAGGATTGTAAGTGAGATAATAATTCACTTCAGGCATGGAATTTACGGTCTGTAAACTGCACTTTCGTGTTACCTCTTGCATGTTTTTTAAAATTAATGCATTAGTTGATGAAGGAGGACCAACATTACTCATTGAGCAACATTTCGAAACTGTTGGCTAAAATTTGAAAATTAGATGAAAAATTTCAATATCTGATGAAAAAGTTTTCGAAAACAAGCCAAAATTCTGGATTATATAACATACAACGATAATGAATCTCTTGCAGGAAATTTATTCAAACAAAACTCCGAAACGAAAATTATTCAAAAAAATTCAAAAAGAATTACAATGGGCTGTTGGATAGATCCACTGAGTACAACATTCGGATCCACGTCAGAAATGGCAAGTCGAGTAGAACTTTTAGCATTCAAGGGAGCATTTGGCTCAGGACTATCCTTTGAATTTAATACTAATCCGGTGCCTTCTCCAGATTTAATTTCATCAACATCAAGTTTGTAACGATTCAATGCAGACGAAATAAGGTCATAGTTCGAAACACGTATTAAATCTGGACTGCTGAGTGTATGAGTTGGTAATGTCTGAAACTTATCCACTAAACTAAATGAATTTAATTTAACATTAAAATTTAACATTTAACATTAACATATTCGCCTGACCTCATTATTTCCTTGCCTTTTAAACTGCGCCATTAATGAGTGTTTATGAGCTAAGACAGCTGCACTTCGGCCTTGTGGTGTACCAACCATGTGTATTTCAGGTGAAGACCCAGCCATCTAAAATTCATGCAAATGAAATTAAATGGCAACTTTGATACAGAAATTTTAATTTTTTCAATAGTTCTTCCTCGCTATGATGCAATAATTTTAAACTATAAAAACTAGTTCTTTAAATCCTAAAACGGTGAAGATATCGCACGTCATGGCGGTGATAGAGATCTTTTAAAAAATCCAAAATGTGGAAAAATTTCTAAGATTTTAATCAAATTTAATGGAGCCTTTGGCTTAAAAATGGCTAAAAACTAAAGATACGCAAAGAGAATGCATGTTAGTTCATAAGATTGCAATTTTTTCTTTTAAGTTACGTTTGATGAATAAAATTGCTTCTTGGATTCACTGGCCAAATTTCTGCTATCTTCAGGGAGATTTTTTGAATATTTCGTTCGAATTGAACCTCCTCGATTTAACTAAATCCATTTTTTAACTATAGCAGGAATAAAAGCATTCAAAAAATACAGATTTCCATGAGTTTAATTAAATGAAAACAATTTATGATTAAAAAAACCTGCAATCCATTCGAATAAGATGGAGGCCGACATCGCGGTGAATAAGCAGGAAAAGATTTTTTTTGTTCTCGATGCTGATTTCGTAGTCGTTCCGCTAATATTAGGGCAGCTGACACACCTGCTGACGCCGACGTACCACTGTTTAGTGCTGTACTGAGAGGTGATGATGGTCTATGTTCTACAAAATTTATTTCAAATTAGATGACTAGATTCTCTATTTGATCTAAACAGGCGATGTAGGGCTTAAAAATATTCATAAATATGAAATTCCTGCATCTTATTTTTTTAATCAGACTTCCGGATTGGACTAACATCAATTACAAGGCTTGATGTTTAGCGAGATATGGGTCAGTACCTGAGATAAGCGATGAAAAAAAATAAGCACACGCTCTGTAATGACACACATGCACATGGTTTTCAACAAAATTGTGCAATCGTGCGAAATATCCACCTGACACGTGAGAGTAGGCAGCGATGGTTAAAAGTAGGTAGAAAGATATTCCACTAATATCCACGGTTCGCAGTCATATAACAGATCGTCAAGAAGACATTTCTGGCTGGGGAGATCCATCTAGACTTGAATTTCACCTATCGCATTAGGCATGAGAGTGGGAACAAGTTTGAAAGTTATAAAATATTTTACAAATAACCTGCAACAACCGGATCTCGTACCGATATTGAAGAGAAAGCGAGATTAGATTTTTTTTGTTCAGGTGAATTACCACTAGTTGAAATATTGTACATTGAAATAGCCATCGGCCTAGCTGAAAAAATACTGCTGGAGGGCAATTTGTTTAGCGAAACTTTGTGACTTGATGATGAGTAAACTGATTCAGCAGCTGATAGTATCGAAGATGGATATTCATGGTTTAAACGAACTAAATTTAACTGAAAAAAAAGATAACAGTGAAAAAAGAAAAAAAAAGCTAAGCTTATCATTACGATAGAAAGAAAGGGAAATTTTTGTAATATCGTTTATATCCAAATAAAGGCAATGATAAAACAGCCAACCAAATTAGGCTCAGTAAATTTAATCTTCAAGTAAAGTTCAGTTGAAGAAATTCGACATCATCGCCTTAGAATTGAACTATGGCTTGACAAATCTCCATTATAAACATAACTTATACACTATTCTGTCTACTCAAACCACATATGAAATGCTGAACTTAACAAAAACGATTTTTTCGCTATGAATTTTCACTGAATTGACACTGAATTTTCTGAAAAACTAAAAGAACTTGAACTGAACCTAAATTGATATTTTTGAAATTGTCATTAGTTCGAGAATATTGGAAATATCGAGAAAGTGAAAGAATGATCAAAAATAAAATAAAATCGATTAATTCGAATGGTATACATGTATGTATCTCAGTTCAAATAATTAGAGATATTTACTTCGGCATTTGAAGATCGTAAAATTTGCTGACTGAATGTCCGAATACTTCCTTGTAGATTATTGATACTAAATTTTTAAGAAATTTTTAAAAAAAAAACAAAAATAATCGTTCTAGATAAATGGCAATATTCTTTGTTGTTTACCTCAGGAAATATCTCAAATATCTCGCCACATGCCAAATCTTGCGTGGATAGAGTCAAAAGCGAGAAGGTCTAATCAAGATTTGATTAAACATAGAGAAGAAAAATTTTGAAGACATGGACAACCTAATACTGTAAGGATATAGGCGCGCGTAGACTCAATGCAGTCAGTATCAAATTAGCAGTGGCGTGAGCTATGAGAAAAATAAATAATTAATCAGCCATGCAAAGCACAAAATGTCAATTCAGTAGGCCAATATTTAGAAAATCTAAAGATTTTTCGAAAACTATTCATAGTTCCTACCATAATTATTTTAGATAGAAATTTACTTCATCGGATAATTTCTTTCAGCGATCGCTTCATTCGTCGCATACCTATACTGCCACATTAATACCATAGCGACATAACGAGCCATTTCAGCATCTTCCTTCAAATAATCGTTAGAAGGTTATTAGTTATAAGGACCAGAAAAATTATTAAAGACAATCCATTTAGTCAACTTAAATTCATAAATCATAATGTAAAGATAACTGAAAATACAAATGAACATAAATGGTACAAGACAATAATTAAAATCTAGCGCATTTAATAATTTGTTGGTCAGGATAGTTGGTATATAGCCTCCAGTAGGATTAAATTGTCATGAATTCGATTCATTTCTCTCAGAACCCATCTGTCTTCTCTCTCATCTGACTAACGAAAAATAAATTGCGGTTTATGCTAAACGAAAGCAGGCAAAATTTTCCCTTAGGAAATAATTCAGAACCTTCAAGGAATGCTGATGCTTTACCTCTAAATATTGCAAAGAAAAACTAAATTGAATATTAACCATGGTAAACTGCACGACGTTACCATCGAGCAATCTCAAATTGAGCTGTCGTTTTGATGCTTGGATATCTTTTATATCCTTCCACCTAAGGGTTAATAATGTTAGCTAAATAAATTAAATATTTAAAAATCATTTAAGCATTTAAGAATGATGATCTAAGAGGATAATTTTCACCCAACTAATTCATTTTCAAAACCCCTATGTTCAAAATTCAAATAAAAACAATATATTGAAAAATAAAGTGGGGAAATTATTAAGTTCATTTATAGTTTAATTATATTATAGTATAAATTTTATTATCGCACTTCCAAAATTAAAGCCCAACCTATGTTTCATAGGTGCTCCATAAGATCCTTTAACAACGATTCCTTCTTGAGAGTAACCAACCATCACTTCAGTACTATCTTCATCCTGTAACCAGCCATAATCTTCAAATGATTATCATATGAAGGGAATAACAATTCTAAAGCCTTTTACCACCACCAACTGTAAATTTCCGCCACGTTTTTTAAAAAATGTTTCGAAACGAATTTGCTGAAAGAAGAATAATTCAAAAAGTGAATACTTTTCCGCAGAAATATTCTTCACCATAGCCTTCACACTGTTGGGCATCAACGATATATAATAATGCTGCATAACTTTGTTGCATCCCTCGAAGACGTTCATGTACAGCAGACACACGTTTCAGAAGATCTTCAAGGATTTGTGCACTCCGACAAATATGCTTAAAAAGATAGTTGCGATCAAAATAATAAAACTTGAAGAATGGAGAAAAATCATCGATGCACATATATATATATATATATCATTTTAAAAATATTAAAATCCACAGCAAAATCCCTCGCCCTTATTTTTAGGCAGATCCTTAATCTATAATCCTTAAATCCTATAATCCTTAATCGACACCAATGCTTAAAGGAATTTAGTGTTTCAGTGCTTCTAAAACTGAATAGCATTATGATGCCAGACTTGGTTCCATTTTAACACAGTTGTCATCAACTGATAATCATGAAAAGAGAATAAAAATCAACAAGATCGAAAAAAAGCGCTAGAAAACAAAAGAGATGTAGTAAAAACATTTACCTTGGGTAATAAGGGTATGGTCTGCATAAATTCGATTGTATGAATTGACGGATCAAAATCGCCATATTCAACTGAAAATTCAGAATTAGAAATCTATGAATATAGATTCATTCCTTATTATTTAGAACCGTATCCAATGCAAGAATGGCGAGGAAAATGTGATATAATATGTACTAGAACTTTCACTAGTTTCAAGCTAGTTTCTTAAAAAATCACATGAAAATATCGTGCAGAAATACTATCGAATATAAGTCATGGAATGGTGAATAGCGTATAGTACGTCAAATATATATATTAATGTATGGATTTCATATTTTCACTCAGAAATACTACATGTGATAAGGATAACCGAATGGTTGTTGCTCAGACTTCCCAGTGTCAAAGATCCAGCCCTTACTTCTAGTGTGGACTCATGACTTCTCGTTATGCATGGCTTAGTCGGATTAAATTTACGCGATAGGAGTAAAAAACATAGATAGTGCGGGCGAACCGCCTGTATTTCTATCACCAAGTGATATTTCTCAATGTGCTAACAGTTCGTTGCGGACTTCGAATCTAAAGATTAAATGACCCTTTCAGATCAAAAAAAGGACGTTTAAAGGTCAGATAAATCATTTTCCTTTTACAGTATTGTACTAAATTGATCCTTAAATGATCTAATGATCTATCGATTTGTTCTGAGTATATTTTTTGCATTTTTTATGGGCATACTTTAATTTTATTTGTCGGGCAAAGATCCTTTTCCAACATTTTCTACATTATTAATGGTATTATATTATATTATTAAATCAATTTACTACTCCATGTAAATCTATATTATGATTACAACAAAAATCTACAACAGAAAAGTAAGTTGCAATTAAAAAATTTCCATTTTTGCCGGAATATTGAAATAAAATTATTTTAATTGTTTCTTTTGCGACAGTGTAGTAGACTGACCAGAATTGATAGGCGCTAACCACTCAAAATCACAAATAATAACCATGACAAAAAAAATATGAAATTAGAAAAATTAGAATTAGTGATAAGAATAAGTTAACCAAAAATGAAAACATGGAAAAAGGTTTGACTCTTAAAAAAAATTGCTTTATTTTTTAATAATTCAGTTGGAATATAAAAATTAAGGGCTTAAAAGAGATTAAAAGTTTACAGAATTATGTGAAATTCTTATTGTTACACATTTTTCTTGACCTCAGTTTAAGTATTCAATTGCTTCAAAAAACTGATCATAGAAATGATTTATTCGAACCTAATACAAAAAAACAACAACTCTGAGATCGCTCTATTTTCCACATCACTATTCTTTTTACATAATTTTGTATGTCAGTGGCATGGCTCGGTTCTAAAGTATACACCATATTCAAACAAATTTTCAACCAACCTTGCAGACTATAAGCGGCTAAATTTATATATTTTTCCAATGCCACTGTTAATCGACCTTCAACAACGTCCAATTTCATCAGCAAAAAATAATAAGATCTGAAGGAAGGATGAAAATTAGTAAATATTAAAAATATGCGAAGTTCAGGCGAATATAAAACGAAAAAACCATCACTCCATTGATAATCCTCTTCTCCTTTTAACAATACTCACCATTTCTGGTTTATCTGGCTCCACTGGCTATTAGGATGAAATCCCTGCACCAGAGAGTCAATTATGGACAGAAGTACAGGTGACTCTCTAGCACAACCCAGATTGATAATCGTGTAAGTGGAAAATAATAAAGAAGCAAAGATGCAAGCAAAAATTTCCCATTTTCACCCACAGATTTGGTGCTGAACTTTGATGTTTAATATTTATTCAGTGTTATTTCATTAACATCGCTTTTCTGCAAATCTAATAACAGAATCGAGGGGATAACTTTAGTTCAACTTGTAAAAAATTATTTTCTCTTTTGCAGTTGAATGGCCAAATGATCGAAACAACTAAATACATTTTATATATTTATTCATTTATAAAACATAATGTATTAGTGGGTTGCTTCGAAAATTATCAGGTTAAAAATTATTAATTATTACCATGATGATTCCTTCTCAGAAAATTTACTTTCAATTATACACGAAGTTTTGCTACAAATTTTATATTCAAAGAATTGAATTTTAATTTTATTTGAGAATTTTTAACAATTTAAGAATTCTGAGAATTTTGGTTTTTAGTATGAAAAATCCATGAAAAATAAAAATTCCTTAAGTCTTTCGTATAAATGGCTCACTTGCAGCTTCATTTGATAGCAATATAATTAGAATCGAAATAGCTAAGTTCCTTAACGAATAATTTTAATAATTTTACAGATTTAAAAAGATCAAGACAAATAAGACTGATTATATGGAGTATAAGCTAGTCTAATTTTAAAACAAGGAAGAAATAAATATGATTCGATGATATATCATAAAACCCAATTTAAGAGTCCTCACTATGAAACTGATTAAACTCGCTCCGCTGGCTTGCCTGTCGCACTGGAAAAATATGCCAGGGAGTCTCTTGGCGATAGAAATATAGATGAATCGCCAGCATCAGCCGGATTTTTGAATTAGTTTACTACTTCTGAAAGGGGAATAGAATCGGCGCTCCGGTGTATTTCTTGTATTATAATATCAATATGGAAACCCTATTTAATGCATTTTCATCTATTTACTCATTTCATGGTAATTTTTAAACAAGTAAGCAGTTGCAGAAATAAGAATATCTTTTCAAAAAAGAACTTTACAACCTTGCCATTTGATCCGTTAACGTAAAAGCATTCGGTGTATGATACAAAACAGCAAGCTGTACTTGCCTCGGTTTGCAAGCCCATTTCGTAAGCTGCCGCTTTAGCGGCTTATCCAGTTCAACCCACCTCATTATTCTATTATCAGGATCGTTAGTCTTCATTTGATATCGCAAGCCAAACATCTCAACCTAAAACTTATGTAAAATTTAATCTTATCACATAAAAATTTTAAATTAAATTAAATTAAATATTAAAATCCAACCTGATTCAGATCAACTTTTTGCCTGAGATATTCAATACACTGAAGTGCTGTACTCTCAGTAGTTAATGTACACTGTAAAATGGCATGATCACCAATAAATACTGTTAAAACATAAATATCTTGGCTCAAATCATATCTTCCACTTTTTTTGCCCCATTTGAGCCTTAAAGGCATACGTAACATTCTGAAACTTCTTTAAAATTTCCAAAATAGGAATGAATGGAAAAACACGATAAACATAAAATCATGGAATAAGTGTTCTGGTATATAAATCCGACAAAAATATGTAGAAATGATCAATGGTTTTGTGGATCGATTTAGTGAAAATTTAAAGCAGCAAAAATACTCGAGAAAGACACAAAAAAATAGGGAAAGAAGAAACCAATTCACGAGGAAGATTTACAAGTTACAAGGAAGAAAAACCAAAAAAAAGAGCTAAAAGTTTATTTAGCCATATTACTTCGCACACCAGAGAATCAACTGGGTACAAAAGGAGAAAGATTGTTCACAAATATCACCCAGATTTCGCCTCTGACATATTTCCTCAACGAAAGAGAATCAAAATAAGGGAAAATAAGGGATGAGAAATTCATAATTCTTGCCTTTTAGTCGAAGAAACAAAAAAAAAACCGCTAGATTCCATTTTTCGATTATAAGTAGGCTATAAAGCAAAAAAGATTGCAAGTGATACGACAAAAAATTACTGAATAAATTGCTACAAGAATGCAGTTAAAAACAATAAATATTGCAATAATGAAATATTATAATCTTATATTGAGGTAAAAAGATATTTAAATAGTACAACTGATATGTAACTAAATTTTTTATGATGAGATTAACTTCCCTTAAGTCAAATTTGATCTAATTTCTAACGAATCAATGTAGTATAATAAAACCAAATCGAAGATAAAGCGGACTGGTCACCAATACAGACGAGACCATTATTGGCGAAATAGACCTCCTATTCATCAAATATTGCAACCAAACATTAGGTAGATGACATGAAAAAATCTTTCAGAAAATGAGCAAAGTATTAAAATGAGCAAGTGAATGCTGTATAATACTTCACAAAGTACTTCTAGTAGCACTGTTTAAAACAAATAAAAAAAAATAAAGAGATATGGCTGCAATTTTAAAACAAATTGCAATTAAGTTGATAAATAAACATTTAATAAGGATTACAATAAGGTGTAAAGCCAATGGATAAAACAAATCAAACGCAAAAGTCAATAAAGTTTTGGTACAAATCACAATCTACATTTATTTTCATTTTGATATTTAAACAATTTATGAATTCCGGCATCAGTGAAATATATTCAAATAACCCCACTCACTCTTCATTAGTAAATAACTCTATTGGAAAAATCCAAAAGCATTTGCTAAAGATATATTTGGACATTGTCAATGAATTTCAAAAAAAAAAAGTATATAGTTTCATTAGCCTTCGAACGAAGAATAAGGGATTACACAGGTTGGAATGAACTGTCCAGAAAGCAAAATGATAAAGATGTATGGATGAAAAAACCAGGCGAAAAACAAAATTATATGCTGATTCTCGCCAAACGGAGAACTAAAGAAATGATTGGTATATCTCCACTTTATTTTCCAGTAAAAGCTATTTTTACAATATATCATATATAATTTGTTTCTATTTTTCTTTCTTCATTTAATATTTCTTGCCGGTCATTGCGAAGAATTTAGATAACTAAAGTAGTTACAAAGTCATTTGAAATGCGAAGTCTCCCAGCGTCACCAAAATTTCTTTTTCTGAGACAGATATGCTTTCGTTATAGGAATTAAATCGATGATGCTCACTTGACCCCGAAACAGCATACCAATCGATCACTGTTGCCCCACTTTTCGATTTTAGCTTTAAATTAGTCATGACAAACAGATCGCGATTGATAAAGCAAGAAAAATTGTTGCAATAAATTGTTGTCCACTATTAGGAACCTTGTAATACTATGTTTTACGATAATATTGTAAATACAAGAATAATAATATTAAGATATTTACAATAATTATAAATATCTTAATTTATCTAAATTCTTAATTTTTCCAAATTTTTCTAATAAATGTTAGCAAAACCTTATGTAAAAATAAAATCGAATTAAAAACATTCTGCGAAGGATAACGAATAAGAAATGAGAAAATTGTCTGATGTCGGCGCTTCATTACGGAGAAATGTTCAGAATATAATATTTTTAGAGTTAAGAAAATTATTAAAGGAAAACACAAGTCTAAAATAAATACTCAATTAGCGTAATACGACTTTAACCATTTTAGTAAAATAATTTTAAACTAAATAGTCACAAGGCCAATTTTATAGTAGATTATTCCCGTTCTCTATCACCTACAGAACTAAAACTGTCATTAATAAATCATGGTGATGCTGGCGACGCATATGTGCTTCTATTATCAGACTGGCAAAAATCCCTAACTTCGCTGAGAGAAAGAGGAGTTAGTGTAACCAGAAATAGTGAGAGCTAGCCTCAGTTAGAAAAAAGCAAAAGAAACTAATTGAAAATGCAAATAAAACCAATTTTAAAAAAAATAAAAAAGTATTATAATGAAACTATAGAAAAATGAAAAATTATAAATTATTGTACAGAAAAGGGGCAGTACAGAATTTTCGTTGGGAGCACGGCGATTCCCTTTCAATATTCTACCTTTATAACAATTCCTTTTGGGAATCCGCTCCACTATCTTTTTTCTGTATAGATTTAATTTTCCTGCCACGCGAGACTTTTCTTTCTTATCAATATTATAAAAACTCTGCGGCCAGCGTTCTACTTCTTACTTCTCTCGTTGCGAACCTCAAACTTAGGTAATTAACCTTTATTAGTAAAGACGCAAATATATAAAGAAAATAAAGCGAAGTAATTGCCCTACTACTACCAAATAATACAGTCAAAGAAATCAAATATAAAAAACTAAATGCCCCTCACTCACCCACCGCTCCCCCACTCGTTTCCCCTAATAAAACACAAAAATGACGAAAATTGATCTTTTGGGAACTTATATTTAATTTAAGATGGGCGGGAATCCGGTTGACTTGCTTAAATTTACAGATTTTTTCGCCTTTCAGCGGCAAGTATATAATCATCTAAGACTGCAATAAACCACTGGAGCTTGGAACCAATGGAACTATCTGAATCAAAACTAAATTGCAAAGAAATGCGATTATGCTAACAATACAACACAGCATCACTTCAGGCACTAAATAACTGGTTCAAAAAATACAGGACTAACTACAACACCAAGGAACAACATTAGAATGATAATATTTGGTTATATCTCCATTTTCAGTCTATATATTCGATGGAAATTATTACATAAGTTATATAGTTCTATAGTTTTATAGTTCTATAAATTGATGTCCGTAATTCGAATAACATCGCTCCAATAAGCCATAAAAAATAAAACTATCAAAACCATTAAACAACTATTAAAAATTAAATTGATTAATATGAGACTAAAATTCCATTTAACACGGGAATGGTTCTCAAATTTTTTGCATTAAGTACTCTTTTAATCTTTTAAAAATTATTGAGAACCCCGCAAGAGCTTTTTATAAAATGTCGTATAAAATGCCAAAAGTTTTAAAATGTATTATTAAAAGAAGTATCATATCCGAGTGGTAACTGCGCAGATTACCACCACCAGCATCAGGATTTGGGATCTTTCTCTGACAAGAATAAGCTCATCATTTATAAATGATGGTGACCTACCTATACTTCTGTAACCAGGTGTCTATCTAGTAAAAATTTTCGATTGTACTAATAATCTATGGAGTGAACTTAACCAAAGATGATAAGCGATAACCACTCGCTTTTGCTGCCTTATACAGTAATCGGAAATATTTGAAAAAATTTTGAAAATATCACATCAATAATCGAACAAGAAGATCAGTCAACGAAAGAATTGATTGAATCAGAAAAGAAAATCCGCTAATGAGAATATTCTAAAAAAATTTGATAAAATGATCAATTAATGATCAATTATAACGAACGAAAGAGAGATTAGTAGCCGATATTTATCAGCAACAAAAATAAAATTATTTTATAATTCCTGTTTTATAAGTGTACAAAAAAGGCAGTTGGCTAGTTGCTCATGTTAGGATAACTCCACTCGTACGGTTAGAAAATTTTGCCACAGAATCTAAAGGGAATTTAACAATGCAATTGGGTCGACAGCGCCACCCAGATTTTTTAATTAAAGGTTTTTCCTATGGGGGAAACAGTACTCTCTGAACCATTATCCAGTACTCTCTGAACCATTATCCACCCAGCTTCTGCCTCATATTAAAATCTAAAAATTTTTTTTCCATTTTTCATTAAAAATAAAAGATGAAAAAAATATGGTCGAAATTTAAAAATATTTAAAAGTATTATTTATTCGCATATTTTTTCTTTCGCTTTATTCTTCTTTATTCTTCTTTTTTCAGTTTATTAAACTTCGATAAATAATTGAAATAAAATGTAAGTTTCAAAATTCAAAATTTTATTTATTCAATCATATTTTATTTGCTTAGGCCTTAAAATTCATATGACGCACTAAGTTAAGCACTTTTTATCCTACAAATATTTGAATTTAAAATTTGAAAGTGGGCTTACCAAATAAATTATTTAGTAGTTATTTAGCAGAATGCGCTCCGACGATTTGCGGTCACAGTCACACGCCTTAGAAACTGGTTTCACTACAGCAAGTACTACATCAATAATAGAAATTGAGCCACTGGTATTAACAAAGTCGTTTTTTTGTCGTATCTTAATTTTCCTGTTTTAAGGCTTATTTTTCTTAGTATTGATGGTAAAAATGCTACCTTATATGATACTTTTTTCGAATAAGATGGTTATCACACTGATTACAGTTCTGAATAACTAAAAGATTAAAAATCCACAATAAGTAGTCTTTAGACTAATTTTAAAAAATAAAATTAGAATAAAAAGAGGAAATCAAGAAAGATACGTGAGCGTATAAAATAATTAGGCTGCATGATCGCCATTTATAAAACAGTTTCGTGGAATATATGTGCATTCTTTGGAGCGATAAAAGACCAGTAGGGGCTACATTTTAAAGGTCATTCGATTTATAAAAGGTCAGCTGAGCATATGAAGTGCAAACAGAAATAAATAACCACATTATGAATTGAAATTTTTCTGTTAGGCTTGTTACGAACT